AAATATGGTATGAACCCCCTGATATGAAACATCCAGAAGTAGCAAATGCATAGGAAACAAACTTTTTCAGCTGTTACTAGGCGTGGGTGTTTCACTGCAATTGATATGGTTTTCAGTGGCCAGTTTTTCCAGAAATGGATGGTTGACCCTGTCCTTCTTCCTTGTCTGTCTTAGTCTGGAAGCTCTGCTGAAACTTGTCCACCATGGATGCCCCTGCTGGTATTTGAAATACCAATGACATAGCCTCCAGCCTTACAGCAGCACTCAAGCCACAACAGTATGACATGTTGACAGAGTGGTTGGTTGCATAATGATATCCTAAGATACCAATATCCTAGGCATTTGTTGTTGTTGTTGTTATGTGCTGTCAAGTTGGACCCGACTCATAGTGACCCCTTCTTGGGTTTCCGAAGTAGTATCACTATGGAAGTAGGAATGAATGCCCAACCTTCCTTCCGAGGAGTGGCTGGTGGGTTTGAACCACCAGCCTTCTGGTTAGCAGTCAAGTGCCTTAGCCACTATGCTACTAGTGAGCTGAAATGGACTGGTACTGGCCATTTTGAATCATACAATCATGTGGTCTACTATGCTGCGAATGTGAAATTGAGAAGAAATGGTGTTTCATATATCATCAAAAAGAACATTTCAAGGTCTACATTGAAGTATAATGCTGTCAGTAATAGGATAATATCCACACGCCTACAAGGAAGAGACCAGTTAATGATTCTTACTCACATTTACATATCAACCACCAAAGTGAAAGATGAAGAAAGTGAAGATATTTTACCAACTTATGCAGTCTGAAATTGATCAAACATGCAGTCAAGATGTATTGATAATTACCAATGATTGGAATGTGAAAGTTGGAAATAAATAAGAAGCATTATTTGTAGTTGGAAACACAGCCTTGGTGATAAAAATGATACTGGAGATCACTTGATGGAATTTTACATAACCAATGACATATTCATTGCAAATACCTTTTTCAGCAATATAAATGGCAATTACACACATGGACCTCACCAGCTGGAATACACAGGAATCATATTGACTACATCTGTGGAAAGTGGGGATGGAGAAGCTCAATAGCATTAGTCAAAATGGGGCTGGGAGCTGACTGCGGAACAGACCATCAATTGCTCATATGCAGATTTGTAAGTTAAAGTTGAAGAAAATTAAACAAATTCACGATAGCGAAATCATGACTTTGATTATATCCCACTTCTTTTGATGATCGTCCATAGTATTGAATATCTAAAGGCACTATATTTGCCATGTCATAGGATATGAATGTACAGGCAGTTCGCAAAGAAATGCTAGATATTTTGTCTTACTTATTAAGGTGTATTTAGGCTCTAATGAAACATGAGTAGCTCAGTATTAGAATTTTGCCTTCATGCAGGAGACCTGGGTTCAGTTGCTGGCCAGTGCAGCTCATGTGCAATCACCACTCATCTGTCAGTGGAGCCTTGTATGTTTTTATGATGCTGAATAGGTTTCAGCAAAGCTTCTAGAACAAGACAGAGTAGGAAGAAAGGCCTGGTGATCTATTTCAGAAAATCTGGCAGTGAAAATCTTGTGACTCACAATGATCTGATCCACAATTGATAATGGAGATGACACATGACAGGCAGCATTTTGTTTCTCTGGGCAAATGATTGCTGTGAGTCAGGGACTTGACATCAGGTAACAACAAGAAGAACCTCTTGAAGGCATAATATTTATTGCTGATTTTCTCTGCAGTTTAGAGTGATGAGAATATTAGACACTTGGCATTATGTTTAATGGCCCAGTTTTAGGATTTAAGTAAACATGACCCTGTTCATTACTCCTAGTTGTGGTCAAGTGTGTGGTATCATAGAAAATGAAAAAATGAATAGTAGGAGATTGCTGAGGAATAATCATCTTCTGGAACTTTTCATCATAGCTCTGGAAAAAACTTGTGAGACGTGCCAAATGTGCTCAGTTCTTTTTTTTTTTTTTTT